TTATTTTTATTTATTTATTTATTTTTTAAATACCTTTTACCTTCTCCGGTAAGGACAAGGACACTAAACTAGACTAGAATTAAATAGATTAAGATTCTTCAGCTTGCGAAGAGACAAGTGGAGAGGCAGAAGTCATTTAAGTACAGAAAATTATGAGTTGTGTAATTGGTTGAGTAGGAAAGCTGAACAGACAACAATGGTCAAAGTAAATTGGCAAATGAAATTATTAAGCAATTTTATAATAAAAAAAAGGAAAATCTTTTTTTACAGATTAAATCAATTATCAAAATTCACAATCCATTTCCACAGTATTTGTGGGTTCAAAAATGATGAGCAAATTCATAGTTATCCCCTGATGACTATTAAATGCAATAACACAATCTCAGGCTCATGAAATCTCAAAGCCACCAATTGCTGGAAGTTGGGAGGATATACTGAGGAAAGTATCATTCTCTATTTTTGTTTTTAGAGTCTTTGCCCGATCATCTGCTACTTAGGATTGCTACAGTTGAGGTATGGAGCTAGAAAATGTACTGTCCACTACAGATGTTATTACAGATAATAATATACTTGTGAGCGTACAATTCAGCAGAGCACCCAGTGTGTAACTAGTGTAACTAGTGATCTCTGATTTGTAGGAGATCTGCTGTATTTGATTTTGGTGCCAGCAACAGCTTAATTACATCTATCTTCACTGTCTAGGTGCTTTACATGCACAGTCTCCAATTCCACCTCTTTCTTCTCAAATAAAACTTTATGTTAACATGTAAAAAGTCAACAGTAATGTAATGCAAAATGGCAATTAACCATTCATCTACTGACCATTTAGGTTGGCTGAAATTGTTGAACTTCCTCATGACGTTCAGTCAGTCACCCATACCCCAATGCTTGGATTTGAAGTGCACAAAAGCATCCACTCGCCAGAAGCAGCAAATCCACTTGTTTTGGTTATTCCAATCCTGAGACTCTTTCTCTTCTTTTTTTGTGGAACTCTAAGGATGGATGAGATGCTCTTTGTTTTCCTCACTTTAGTTTTTAGACAAGATGTCACTGTATTTTTTTTTTTAATTTGTTCTCCTAGCCTTGTACTAACCTTGGGCTATTTGAAGACTCTTGTTTTTCATCATTCATAGACTGGAGAATGTGGGTCACAATCTGAATCCGCATTCCTAGTACTTTACTACTATTGGTGCTGTTTACTACTAGCTGTTTGTATTAAGGATAGTAGGTGACAATGGTTACATGTTTAAATACATATGTCATCTGACTGCATAAAACAGCAGCAGCTGAAATGAGAGTTCCACAACAGAAGGGTTTTATTGCAGAAAAAGAGTTATGCAATGCAGGAGTCTGATTTGAGCTTCCCTGTTCCCTTACCAATAAGATACATGACAACGAAGTGTTTCTTAATAAAATTGATAAACAGAATCATCATGCCAATTCTCTCCTCTGGGCTCAGGTGCATTATCACATCATCACAGTTTGACAAGCTACAATGTCAATTGAACTGCCATAGATGACCATAAATATGCTCTTAGCCCATGGCAAATGTAAGGTAATATGACTGAGCTTAATCCTTGATGAAATACTGTATCTTGTCACTGTGTGCACACAGCTGTTGTGGCTTACATGAAATATGACTTGACCATGTATTTAACTCATCCTCATAAAATGTTTTTCATGGTAAATAGGTTGCCCTAAAAGAGCAATTAGCTTGAGGTAGGAGTGCCTGTGTAGCATTGCTTCAAAGGTCTAACCTCACATGGTGAGAGCCAGCCCTGCATTCCTTCTCCTCGCAGGGCAATAAGTCTTTCCAAAGTCTAAATGTGTTTCTGTCCAGCCCTACGTGCAATTTTTTTCCTTTTTGAGTTTCCTTCAAAATCTTTATATTCTATCTTTTCTTTTTTTTTTCTTTCTCTCCCAAGAAAACTTTGTGAATCTAGGATTGCACAGCAAGTTACTACTGAAGTCAAAATCTTTTGATGAAAAAGGCGTTTTAATGCAGTATGCAGATCAATAATACTCTAGGTCTGACAAGTACAGTGAATTTGCAGTTGTTCTTAATATGATTATTCTATTTCAGCTTGCTGCATTACATAAATAGATAATCTACTTTTTTTCATTAATCCATCCCACAGGCAGCAATGTATTAACGGTATTTCTTCATATGTTGATAGTGTTGCTTTACAATATGCTCAAAAATCTATGTCTTGTGTCTTTTTTTTCTTTTTTTTTTTCCCCACACAAAGAGGGCACTATTTTTTCTGGATTACATTTTGTTATTTTTGAATTGGCAGATTGGTTGTTACTAGACAGTAATTGTAAATGCCATCATATTTTGCAGAAATAAGGGAGTTGTCTCTCTTCCAAGGAATAATCTGATAAGCCTATTGAATATAAGTTGGTTTGAGAAGATGCTTACCTTCTTTAATTTGAAAATGGAAATTTTAGAATATTTTCAAGACAAAGTATTTTTTCCACACATGGTTGTAAATTTATAGAAGTTGCTCATGATAGGGTCACTAATTCCAACAAGCAGGGTGTCTGTGTGTCCCTCTTCTCCTTTTTTTTTTTTTTTTTTTTTTTTTTTTTTTAAGTACCCTTAGAAGTATGGAAGAGGTCACTGAAAATATGATTAAAACCATTTGTGAAATCAGAACAGAAGTAGAAGGCTGGGATCATAGCTGTTTTGAATACTTCCTCAGATCTGAAGAACATCATGGTAAAGATGCCCTATTTTAGACAGGATTTGTTGTATTTAGGTTAGTTGCTGCAATGGGTTACACAAGACTTCTAGAAGCAGAGTCAGGCACAGTGTAGGTGAGTTTTTAATGCTGCCCTTCCCTTTTTATAGCTCTGTCTTGCAAGAACAGAGTATTGTGGTTTCCATTTAATCACCTTTGAAATAATTGTCCAATTACACAATAGTATGTTGCCAATCCTTCATAAGTTTCACATGTTTCAAAATAGACAAGGGAGTGGTATTGAAGACACCTGCAATTGAAGACATTTGTGGAGAGGAGAGAAAATGGAAGATACTTGTAGTGGTCAGTAACAACTGCAGTGTTAAAGGTCCTCCTCTTCAAGTATAGGTTGCATCAGTTGATACAGTGTGAGGTCTAAATGCCTCTCATAATTTGTGGCGTATTAGAGAAAAAGATTTGCCTCGAGGTCTAAGATCTAAGCTTTGAGATGAAATGTATTAATCACAAGTTTCTGTTCTATATTTTCAGAAGAATGGCATAACAAATGGAACTCTCTACAAAAAAACATTTATTGAGCACTTTGAACAGGCACCAATGTATGTTGCTGTTCTTACTTTCCTGGGTTTTGGAGTGGGAACAATATTTGGCTACCTGCGAGATTTTATGAGAGCCTGGGGACTAGAAAAACGTAACATTGCTGCAGAGAGAGAACAACAAAAAGTATGTATGAAAACAACATTATGTATCCACAGCTGAGTTTTCCCCTGCTTGCAAGTTATGTACAATAACCTACTGAAGTAACAAGGCAGACAACTTTCATCTTAGAGAAGAACATTGCATGGGGATGAGACGAATGACACGCGCTGCAGTATAGTTAAACACGTGTATCAATATGTACCTATATATATGTAAAATCATAATTTTCATCCAGAGAGATGTTCATCTTGTTCTAAGAGTGTCAGAATACTCTCAGCAAAATAGAATCTCAGTGTATTAGGTCAATCCACAGAAAAAGAAAACTCAGAAATGCCTTATTGTTAAATATATCATTTCTCCAAATCTCTTAAACCCCAATTTTTCTTTGTCCCATCTGGCTGTCTTACTTTGTCCTTCATAGCGACAGGCAGTGCTAACATCTTTGCAATTGCTGACTTATGTTTGCTGAACTGCTGGTCACGGAGCACTCAGGAATCATTGTCGCAGCACAAAGTGAACGTAGCCTGAATTCTTGTGAGTCCTGACTTAGAAATTTTTTCATCCCACATAGTTCTAAGTGAAACTTGCATCTCAGCAAGCTCAATTGCCTTCTAACTTTGTTTAGATTTTTTGTGTTGCTCCTCCTTCTCTGTGCAATTTGAGCCATCATTTACAATAACACCTGGCATAATGGAGGAAAAACGCGAATAGTGTTACTGTTCCTCTTACAAAAAAAATTCCTGAAATTGTTTCCTGTTTTGGCTTTTCAAAGATGCATGCACGACTTAATGAAATGTCATGGTGCAGTCTTTTTATTAGCATTCTCATGGAATGTCCTTTTCAGTTCACTTCATGATTTGGCCATTTGTTGAACTATTTTGATTCCAGACATGCCAGTTAAATCTTTTTGTCATCCACCATGGATTATTTGTTCATTTAATTCTCTAGTCTCCCACATATGTAACAACATACCATGTTATTTTATCAGTTTCTTGTATCCAGTGTTTAATATGGCTATATTGCTGTTTCATATAAAACTTTGTTTAGATTCCATACCTTCCTTTTAACTTAATTTCCAAGTAAAATCCATAGATAGAAATTAATTGTCAACCAAACTATTTGTCTTAAATGGCTGTTTGCATGTCCAGCCTAGGCCAATAATACCCAGATCAATTACACTGGACTAGCTTTAATCTAATGTATCCAGCATTTCATGAAATATAATGAGTTGTTTATCCTAGTTTTGCAATCTGCTCTACACATAGCAAAATGCTCAATTTGAAGCATTTGGTTTCTGCAAGTGAAAAAATCATGAGTTCCTCCATTTCCAACTTTCCAAATATTGGACTGGAGAATTAGGCCAACTTGTTGACCATTTTAAAAAAAAAAAACAAACAACCCCAAACAAAAAACAAACAAACAAGAAAAAAACTCCACCCTCTAAAAAAGCCATCACTGTATTTCAAAGGAATTAAAGTAAGATATTTGCTGTTTGGAGTTGTTTGTGACATAGGAACATGTGACTGTTATAGCTCTCTGTTTACTAATGACTCAGTTTTTCCTTTTTAATGGGAATGACTTGGGTACAGGAGGAGGCATTTTCCTAACAATATAACTCTGTGCATGTTTTCAAACCAGGATTTTGTGCCACTTTATCAAGATTTTGAGAACTTTTACACCAGAAATCTCTATATGAGAATACGGGATAACTGGAATCGTCCAATTTGCAGTGTCCCAGGGCCACAGTTTGACCTCATGGAACGCGTTACAGATGATTACAACTGGACATTTAGGTGAGTCAGCTTACACTCTGCAGCTGTCAGCTTCATAAGAATACTCCTGATACATCTGCAAAGCACAGAAATTTGCATCTAGCCCTTCATACCTAGATCCTCAACTAATATACATCAGCATGTTTTTTTTTCCTGAAATCAGTACCATGCTGGCAATTTGTCCACTTTCTTCTGAATATTGTTTGGAAATGCAGTATGGAAGGGACTGAACTCTATCACAAATGGGTTTTGTTTGGCTGTGTCAGCACAAGTAAGACTACTGACACTTCATTTATAACAACAGGCCTTTAGTCAGAATATTGCAACGAAATTTGTTGTATCACTTGGTTTGGATTTAAATGGTAATTTCTTGCATTGCATAAATGTGGCTTCTTACTTACATAGTGAGCCTTTGACAGTGGGTTTTAAGCAGTTTACAGTTTGAAGATTTCAGTGTATAACAACTGTTACTGAACTAAATAGATACGGAAGTTCACCACATAGACAATGTGTAGGTAGACTATATTTCAACTTATTGAGAATGTACTATAGTGTTTCCCCACAACATTTTCCTCATGTTCCTCCATCAGTGAACACTGACGACTTTGTGGAAGCTGTTTCAAGTTATTTGCTTGAAAAAATAGTGTCTATAACTTATTCCTTAAATAAAGTCCTAAGTTGGTTGGTTTATTTAAATCTATAAAAGCACCCTTTCACCTAATACCAGTATGTTGCTATCTACAGCTTAGAATCTGGAAAACATTCTGAGCAAGAAGCAGTATTTAGTCAGGAAAAGAGAAAGACTGGAAAAACTTTTGGGATGTTAAAGTATGAGGATTGTAAATTCCCAAATAGGAATTTGACAATGAAACAAAATTTGGTGGGAAAATTTCTGCGTTTTTTCTTTTCTTTTTGTTTGGGGTTGGAGGGAAAGTTGCACTATTCTTTAAAATTTGCTTTAATTATAGGTTTACAGGAAGGACTATCAAGAATGTAATCAATATGGGTTCTTATAACTACCTCGGCTTTGCAGAAACAGATGTTAATGCTTTGAAAACTGTGACCATAGAGTTAAAAAAATATGGGACAGGAATCTGCAGTACCAGACAGGAAATGGGTGAGTAAGCAGCTAGATGGCCACCAAAGTTTCTGTAACTATCTGCTTTTTCTTACAGATATCTTGAAGAAATTGGACACTTAGAGAATTTTAGTCACATCAACAATTACTTGTTTCGCTACTAAAAGTGATGCTGTGTTTTATTCATTATTACATAAGGATTTTTTTAAAAGGAAAAATGTTACTGATTTTTGGAAAAGCAAAAACAAATGTGTCATATAATGGCCTGGGGTTTTTAATGATGGAAGTTATAGGCTTATTTTTTAAAAGAAGTAAAATAAACATTGAAACTTCAAGAATTGTTCTAGGGCAAATTTAATTGCATCACAGATTTATATCAGTTACTACATACTGACTGTTCTGATTAGTAAAACGAGCTTTTAGATTTTTTTTTTTTAATCCCATGTTCTAAGACTATATTGTAATGTTTTATGAGACATTAACGGGCACAACATAGAAATTTCTGGGGTGCCTCTAAGGAATAAATTCAGGAAGGCTCTATCTGACTTTTTTGGTTTATATGTCCTTTATGATTTGTCTGCTTTTTTGGTTCGTAGGCTGCATGTAGTGTTATCTTCAATTGTATATTTTTACACAAAGCCTTGCATTCCTAATGGTGCAATCAGCCTGATTTCAGAGAAAACAATTTCAAGCTATAGAAATTCAAGGGGAGGTTTCTCTTCAGGCTTTATCTTTCTTGGGAGCTATCAAAAGAAAAAAAAAGATAGGCTTCCCAGCATAGAGAAATCTTTTATAAACTCCCGCCCTGCCCCCTGCCCAATCCAGCAACGTGAAAAATTTTCTTTTTGTGTCTCTCAAAGCAAACTCCTTTCCTCCAGAAATCTTATGGAAAAAATATTGTATTTCATTTGTTTTTTAATTTAAAGTCTCATTTCCAGACAAAAAAATAATGCAAACCTTGTCATCTGCTTCTTATCTTGTCATCATGGTTTCATTTGCTATTAATGTCAGTGACACCACCCAGAGAGGGTTTACAGATTGACCCTACTTTCTTTTTGTAGGTGACCCATCTGGTGACTGCAATATATTGTTTAACCTGAATTGCATGCTTGAAAGTGGTCACCATTACTAGTCATCTAAGGTATTGAAGGAACATTTCTCTGTGTCTTTTTCTCTTGGGTTCTATTTTGTCTGAGAACATTTCAAGTTGTTTTCAGTACATCAAAGAATATGCCTGGTGTTCCTCATTCTTTATCTTTTGTGGAATTTTTTATATGGAAGACTTGAATAACTTTGACTTATTGTCAAAAAAAAACCTTATGAAAAGATTGATTCTGTCTTCAAATATTAAAAATCTTATTAGTTAACTTCATCTAGTCTGTTTTGAGACCCAATGTATACAGATTTCTAGGACTTTCTCTTCATCTGAACTCCTATGCAGTACTCAAAATTATCTTGACAGATTGAGCAAAGTTTTAGATCCATTCTAATGGCTTTCACAACAGATAGTCCCATGAAGTTCATTCAGACTATTCACAATGCAAGAATGGGCTACAAATAAAGAACACTGTACAAGTCTTGTCAGTATCAGTCTTTTAGGAAGTGAATTTCAGAGAGCACCTTGGACATCAAGACTTATTAAAATAGGAAAGCAGGGTGTCAAGACCTGGCTTAGATGGTGTAGATGAGCAGTCATAGCATTTCATCCTAGGGAGCTAACAGAGAGCCTGTGCTTGTGTAGTCAGCGGAGAGAGAGGTTGCTCCACAGAGCGACTCTGAGCAATCGTTACTTCATTGGCCCTGGCTCTGTTGGAGCCTGTCTACTGCTGTCCTGGTTTCTGCTGGGATAGAGTTAAATTTCTTCCTAGTGCTGTGTTTTGGATTTAGTATGAGAAGAATGTTGGTAACACACTGATGTTTTTAGTTGTTGCTACGTAGTGCTTACTCTTGTCAAGGACTTTTCAGCTTCCCATGCTCTGCCAGGTGCGCAAGAAGCTGGGAGGGAGCATAGCCAGGACAGCTGACCCAACTGACCAACGGGGTATTCCATACCATATGACGTCATGCTCAGCATATAAATAAGAGGTGTGTTCCAGGAAGTAGCATTTGTTTTGGGTATTGCTCGGCAGGTGGTGAGCAATTGCATTGTGTATCACTCATCTTGTATATTCTCTCATTATTGTTGTTGTTGTTTTTATTATTATTATTATTATTATTTTCCCTTCCTTTTCTGTTCTATTAAACTGTCTTTATCTCAATGCATGAATTTTACTTTTTTTCCCCCAATTCTCTCCCCCATCCCACTGTGGGGGGGCGGGAAGTGAGCCGAGCGGCTGTGTGGTATTTAGCTGCCTGCCAGGTTAAACCACAACAACGACCAAGAACTGTATAAACAACCCAAGGAAAATAGCTTCTTATTAGTAGTGTGGATACCCTCTTTTCTTTTTCCTTTACCCTCTTGTGCTGCCTCAGCTCTATTCTTGTTCGCAGTTGAGCAGATTTGAAAAATTCTATCCGAGTTAAATATATATACACGTATACTTTCAAGAGAGAGATAGGGAAGGGTCTGGATGAAAGGTCTTACCTTTTTTAATTATCATTTGCCATTTTCATCTTAGAAAAATAGAACAGAATGGTTTTGTTCCTGAGCAGATAACATTTCAAAACTTTTGTTGTCATTGTGTGGCTGAGCTAAAGTCATTTGAAGTAAAAATGCAGTGAGCTGTAGGAGCCAAGGCTATAAATTGCCTGTGGGGTCCTAATCCAAGAGAGTGCTTGAACATATTTATTATTTCAAGCTCATTGACTTTGAAAGTACTGTTCTGCTTATGTGCATTTAAGTGTCTGGCATGTTCCAAGATCTCTCTCAAAGCAGTGATAGGTCTCTCTTTTTGAGAAGGATCATTCCACTACTTTGAGAAGATTTCAGAGAGAAGGGAAAACAAAGAAACAAATAAAATTAATGTGAGTGATGTTTGAAAGAATACATGATGGTAAACTGTCCTTTGTGGTCTTCTGCCTGAACTCCTTTTATAACTGTGCAGACTGTGGAGTGGGTATAAAATGCTGTGATATCAGAATGTTGTTGCAGGTAGTTTGCTCTCAGAATAAGTTCATATGGATGTTTTAACATGGTGATTTGTATCTTTACAAAACTGTGTTTTATTAAGGAATCTTAGTGAAGCTAAACCTTACTAAATGTAGAACAGTTACTCTACATGCCCAGAATAGTAACTTAAGACTGTGTGTAAACATAGTTCAGAAACTAACTTCAGTGAGAACTGTGAAGCCCTGCTCATGCTTTCTCTAAAATAATAATGCACATGCCACTTGAACAGACATTCCTATTTAAGCACAAAAGCATAGTAAACTGATAAAAACAGTGACTGGTCTTTCTAGACTTGTCCTCCATAAAAACATTTACGGCTTTTCACTCCATTTTTAATTCCATGCTCTTTTTAAATTATAATAATAATAAATCACTTTCTTAGCATAACAGTGTAATTTAAGACACATTCCTGAGGCTTTTGTGGGACTTTCAATCTGAAAGAAATATATTTTCCTTTTTTTAAGACCACGCTAACTATTATCCTTTAGGAGCAAGATCTTGCGGTTATAAGTGGTAGTTCCGTGAAAGCATTAGCTTATTGTTCAGTGGTCAGAAAGCAAATCAAATACTAGAAATTATTAGGAAGTGAACAGAAAGCCAACCATAGAACCTCAGTATGCTGCTGCATAAAGCTGTGGTTTGCTGTCATCTTGAGTACTCTGTGCAGTTCTGGTCAAAAACATTTAGCAGAACTGGAAAGTGTCAGAGAAGGGCAACAAGAATCATTGAAGGCCTCAAACAGCTTCTGAGTGAAGAACTGTTGAGCTAGTTGTTTTCAGCTGCCAGAAATGCCTGTCATCTGGCTCAAAAAGAACCTAAAGGGGGAAATTAGAGAAATCTTCAAAATTATGTGTGGCGTGGAAGAGTGGTCAGGGTGGGCTGTTCATTGTCTCTTCCACTACAAGATCTACAGGGCATTGTATGAAGTTGGTAGAAGGTTTCCATCTAAATACGGGAGGCAGCTCTTAACATTGGAGGCTGGCAGACCCGAGGAACTCATTGCAAAGAAGGCTGCAGGTGCTAAAACTTCACACTCCCTTGCGTTCTAGAGGACACTGGCCACATACACAGGAGGGGTCATTGATAGTTACTAGAAATACCAGAACTATTATCTGATTCAGGATGTCCTTATGCTGAAATTAGTTAGAAGCTGGGATACTACTATATATATGTTTGTCCTGCTTTCATTCTTCCCCAGACATCGATACAAGACCAATGTCAGATGAAGGATTATCAGCAAAAGGGACCTTTTGTGTGGTGCAGTGCATCTAATACTAATTGTTTAGCATTATTTTATGTAATTAGTTGTTTAGTATTAATTTATATTACTACTTATATGCCTATGGCCATTGCTGTACAATCATTAATACTGGATATGTGGACTAGCAAATCATCGTACAAATTTGGCTTGAATCAGGAAAGTGCACATACTCATATTTTTATAAAGTTGGGCAATATTTACGATAGAGGTAACACGTAAGGAACTAATGAAGCAGTAACCTGTCTGTTTTCAGTGTTTCTGAGGACACTAAGATTAAAAAGACATTAAGGGAAGACACTTAAAAGAGATAAACAAGAAAGTTGCATATATGCTTGGGGCATGTCTTCTAAGAGCAGTAGCTTGGGTGAATGTGTGAAAGTGATTGAGATGGTAGGCAGAAGGCAAAAACCGCTGATATCATGGTCTGCTTAGAAGTGAAAGACTTTTCAGTTCTGTGTGGTACATGGGATGGAAGTAGTCCCTGAAGGATCTTGACAGCAAAAATTTAAGCATAAGCAAGATCCTTCAAAAAATTTCGGAGCAGCTGGAGATGTAGAATGAAGATTCTCTTGATCAGAGGGACAGGCTGGGAGGAATGATAGGACCGTTCACCTAGAATGGTAAGAGCATTCTGAGCACATCTGATAATGGCAAGGTTACATTTACTGA